TATTAAAATTATTCTTAAACTTTAAAACATATCAAAATTATCCTTAAACTTTAATTTTTTTTATCAAAATAGTCATTCTATTAATGAAAGAACCACATGACTCGTTATTTTACCACAAAATTAGTTTTTTTTTAAAATATTAATGATATCTAAAATTAAACAATCATATTTTATTATTATAATATATTTTCAATTACATATCAGATTGATATGTAATTAAAGTTGAATAACTAAAATAGTATTTATAATCAAAGTTTAAAGTCTAAACTGGTACTTGTTTTTAAAATTCAAGGACTAAGTTGGTATTGAATTAAAGTTTAGGGATTATTTTGGTATTGATAATTTAAGTTCAGAGATAATTTTAAGATTTTTTTAAGTTTAAAGAAAATTTTGATATAAAATTAAAAGTTAAGGGACCAAATTGATTTTTTAATCTTTTTTCCTAAACTAACACCAAGAAAGCGTTAATTTGTGGCAAAATACCATGTTAAGCCTCCAAACTTACTATCCGCTACTCATTGGATAGAGATTTGTTCGATCCTAAGTTTTTCTCATCATTCAGGGAGTTTTTTGAAGGCTAGAGGAACCAAGATCAAATAAGGAGTTGACTTCTTGTCACGCCCCAAAACCCAAATTTGAGGTGTAACAAACACCATGCACTCATGACAGGGTCCCATAAATGCATAAGGCTCGGAACTTATCCAATTCACATTTGACAATCCAACAACTTAAATCAGATATTTCAAAATAATTCTATGTTCAACATGACTTAAGCTCAAAATCTCAAGGTCAAATCTCTTGTAAACTAACAATCCATTAAATGAATTTATAAAATCTCCAATTAAAATCTATATCAAATTACAGGTGGCTAGCCTTCTGACTCGTCACTCCCCTCGTTTTTTCCCGTCCTTGACTTCACTTCCTGAAATGGTGGACAAGGAAAAACTATAAGATAACTCAGTAAGTAAATATGGATAGCCTATGAGTAAAATTTTAGCATGCCTGATAAACTGTTTAACATAACAAAACGTTCAATGATAAACCGTTAAAACAGAATCAGATTCAGTTCAATAACAAAGTGTTCAATGACAAAACGTCAATGTAGAAGAAAATTCAATAGTAATTTCATCTATAAGTCATGGCCAGCGTTTATGAACCTCCCACTTGCGGGCACAGTAGTAACCAATGTTTTATCCCATTGGCAGGATTTCAGTAATAACCAATGTATCATCCCATTGGCAGGATTACAGAATGAACCAGTCCTATCAGTAAACATGTCGACATGTGCTAGCGTTTATAAACCTCCCACTAGCGGGCACAGTAAAACATGACCATATCAGAGACAAAACCATGCAGGATTTACAAAAAAAATCCGTAATTCACAATCAATCTCAAATTTCAGAAATAACCAAAAAATTCCATGTGAGCATGGATTTAACAGAAAATCATAATTTACAAAAATTCTCAAATCATCAGAGTAGTTCAGTAAATTCCAAGTGGCATGCTCTACTCAATGAAAACGAAAATAATTCCATTTCAAATCAATTATGCTCGGTGCTAATAAAATCAATTTAAACTAATAAAATCAATTTAAACCTTGCCACCATCTCAAAAACAATTTAAAATATGCTTTGAAATCGAAGGGCGTTACCATAATTTACTTACCTCAAATCGTATAAAACCGAAGACTCAATCCAAGTGCTCTAAGCCATAACAACACCTAATATTCCAAATAAATACATTCAGACTTTGCTAGAATTATTAGCACAACCTTGCAAATTTACTAACCAATGAGCTTCACATGAAATTCAACCATATGACCAAACATCTCAATTTTAATCTCAATTTTATTCTCAATATAACTACCCATTAAACCTTCCTACTGTTGGCCATTAGTGCGTGAACAGTACCCATGAACAGTAATCACACAGTGAACAGTGACGGCGACTTCCTGGCAAAACCATATCTAATCTCACTGGATTTTTCTCCAAAATCACAACAGCCCAAATCAAGCTAATTTACACTTAAACCAAGCTTAAAAACATAGCTTAAATTACCGAAATTTCCCCATTTTCCAGTAGATTTTCGGACAACATAGGCATCAATTAGATGGCTAAATTTTAGCAATTAAATGGGTAAAATTTGGACTTAGAGAAGCTGCCACATACCACAATTTTTCCAGCAAGCAAAATTAGAGCTGGCGGGTTGGGGAAGCTGATGGGATCTGCAGGGGAAACTCATGGATCTACCTCAAAATTGAAGGAACAAGAGGAACTTAGAGTAACCCAAGTTAAATTCAAGGAAGAACAGAGGAAATAGTGGCTGTTTCTTACTAGAAACTAGACCAATTCACCCCAACAAAGCAGGAGCAGCAGATGGAAGAAACAGAGCAGAGCAGAAACGGGATTTTTCTGTAGGGGGAAGATTTCTGGGTTCAATTTCAGTCCTATAACAAGAAAAGAAGGAGAAATATCCAAGCTTTCTACCGGTTTCCTCAAGAAAATTGTTGCCGGCAGCTTGGTTCCTTTTTTTTTTTTGTTTCGGGTTGCAACGAGAAGAAGAAGAGCAGAATCGGGCTGAAGAAGAAAGAGGAAAAGGAGAAAAAAAATCAACCATCCTTATCCAATTCATTTTCTCTTTTAATTCCCTGAACTTTGAAATTTCAGTTATTAAACCCCAAAACAATATTTTCTCTCACAAAAACCCTTACTTAAATGCTAAAATATCACAAAATTTTGGGATATTACACCTCTTATAATTGTTTTTTGGTGAAATGTCTTTGTTTTGAAGTTATTTAAACTCATATTTAGAACATGTATAATGAGAATTTCTCCTAGTTTTCTCTTGAAAAATAAAACAGAGCTAAAGTTTTGACTCATTAGAGTACTGTTTTTAAAAGGAGTCATTTTCTTTACAAATCTTCAAAGGTATATTAGATATTTATTTAAAATTTATTAAAAATGTTAGTAATTTTTATAAGGTTAAATGTCAATTTTGGTCCCTCAACTTAAAATTTAGCATAATTTTCATCCTCAATTTTTTTTTTGTACTTTTTAATCCCTTAATTATGAAAAATGTATTTTTTTTAGTCGTTCCATTAATTAATCTGTTAAATTTATCTGAATTTGCACATTTTTAATCCTTCAACTTCTAATATATACACATTTTTCATCTCTCAATTTCAAGTTGATGGATTAAAAATGTGTAGATTTAGGCAGATTTAATAGATTAACTAACAGAAAACTAAAAAAGTGCATTTTTTATAGTTAATAGATAAAAAAAATTCAAAAAAAAATTTAGGAATGAAAATTGTGCAAAACCTTAAAATTGAAAGATCAAAATTAATATGTAACCTTTTTATAATATAAGTACCAAGACATGTTTAAAGTATAAGCCTATCTTTTTGAAATTTATCTTTTATCACTTAAATTTAATTGTATACAATCAATTTATGAGAGGATAGAACTTTTAATTTAACAATTAATTTTTAAAAATATAAATTAAAATATAAATATTTAAACATATAATCTAAAAAAATTTATCTTTTAAAGTCTAAGTCTGTCTTTTGAAATTTATCTTTTATAATATTGCTGCTTTGTGATGTTAGATCGCGACCCATTCGCGACATCGGACGGGGTTAACTAATATGGACCAATTAACATTGAAGCTGTTTTTAATACTCTGAATCGGATACTCTTCTGAAAAGTCAATGAAATTGATTTCTTCTTACAAAAATGGAAAAAAAACAGGAGCAGGTTGTAAGGATAATAATATAACTAGCCCATAAACATAGTGAAGGCCCATGAGATCCAAATACAAAAAAGCACATGTATAAGTTATTATGGAGCTCATATACACTCAAATAAATCCAAAGGGACCAACAGAAGTGCAACACATGTCTAGCATTCCCAAAAGATTTATAAATACCCCCACACTCTTTAAAGGTACGGGACTCCTTCTTCAGTATTTCTCTCTAATATACTCCATTCTCTCTAAAAAGCTCTAAGTGTAAATTATTGCTGACTTAAGTATCGGAGTGTCTATCCCGAAGGCCACTCTCAGGGCTTTACAGGTTTATTGGACAAGAAGAACTGAGCAAGGAAGGCCTTGAAGGTTTTCAGCAACAACACAAGTGAGATAAGAAGGCGAAAGCCTAGCTAACACCAAGAAAGCGTTATACGTACTCTCATGCTACCGACATCCATCCATCTTTAAGCAGATTGGTCATATCGTTTTTTTATTTTTTTTGTTTTTCTGTTTTTTATTTTTTATTTTTTCTTCTTAAATCTACAATTTTTAATTAACGCTCTAAAGAACACCTTTTTTCGCCATCTGTTCATGATTGAATATCAAATTTTTCTTCAGAGGGATTGATGGTGGCTGATTTTTATTTAGTTAATTAAGAACATCTTTCTTTTTGGCCGTCTATAAATTAATACTTTTGTTCATAACAATTAATTGTTGGAGATTTGAATATAATAGTGTGGCCCATCACAAGAAAGATGATTTAGTTAATTGACTATTTTAGCTTCTTGATCAGGTAGTTCCAGACTTCTAGAGCTAGAGAAGAACTAGAAGAACTAGCCAAGGGTTTCAATTTTAAAATTCAAATGCGTGGAAGTAAAGTCACTAGTTACGTAAGCTGTATTTGATTTAATTGTTATAGAACAAGCATCAGCTATAGTTATCTCTCTTAATAAATGAGTAATAATATTTGTATTATAAATAATAATGTACAGTAGTTAAATCTTATCTACAATGTTTCTATTGAATTCACGTTCATGTTCTTCCCCTCACATCTTCCAATGGGGTACACTTCTCCCAATTCCTCTGTTATTATTCCTTTGTTTTCTTTTTTTCAATTTCCATCTTCAAGATAGTTGGATCCAGTTCTTCAATTATTTTTTGATATCTGAGATAGCATTTGAGTATGGAATTATAAATATATAAAGGATTTATTAATACATAAATTTTATACGTTTTATTTATATAAAATGTTAAGTATTCATTTTTCTAATTTTAATAGTTAAAATTTATTATGATTTTTAAATAAAA